GTTTCAATTCTGAACCTGGCTAACGGTGATGGGTTTTCTCACCAAAGGACACAGGACGATGTTTCAAGAAGACGTTCTTAGAAAACAGAAAATGGCCTTGGTGAGAAAAGGCCCGGAGAGTCGTGCTGAGGGACTGTCCGCCCCCTCGAGGCAGGCCTCATGCTCTGAGAGGCAAGGCCTGTCCTGCCAGAGTGCCCTTGGGGAACCTTCCCCAGCCACCCTACAGCCCTGCGCCTGCTCCTGCAGACTTCAGGCAAACATTTCAGAGGAACACGGCTCGAGCCCCTCCAGGACTCCCAAACTGCCGTGGTGACCGCGGCCTGCTCCAGGGGCAGGGAGGCATGGAAAGGCCGCCTCCACACGGGATGGACCTACAGGGAGGGGACGTGGAGGAACAGCAGCTTTTGATACTCTTGTTTCATAAAGGGGCCTAAGGTTTCCTAGCAATGCTTTCTGACTTACCCCCACCCCCGTGTGTGTGTGTACGTATGTATGTCCTGACCCCCCCCTCACCCCCCAATTGCCTCTGAACCAATACTGGCTCTGCCTGCTGTGACAAGGACATGAGTGAGATCTGTCAGAGCCGGAATCTGACGAGCTGTCTTGCTTTTCCAGTTCTCACAAGTTCGCTGCCTGGAACAGGGGACCTGTCTACCAATGCCTGGCGCTCTGTTAGCGGGGAAGCCTGGCACTGCCCAACCCTGGCAGCTTCCCACCGTGCCCGGGTCCTGGCTTGCTCAGATCTCACAATCCTGGCTACTGGTGCGAACTGTCAGACACTCAGCTACTGAATTGAAAGGCTGGTGGTTTGAATCTGCCCGAATGCCTGTGGGTCTCTCTCTGCGAGGGCCACCATCACTGACCACCCTAGGTAGCCCGGTTCCAGTCTGCACAGAGGGGTCACCTCAGTGGTAACTGGTTTGGTTCTAAACCGGTCAAGTCAGTCCACCCTACCCCACCCCTGAACGAGAAGCACTGAGGCCGAGGGCGGGGGCATCTGTGTGGAACTCAGGAGGGGCCACCTGGCAGCTGTTCAGGGACGTCCCCAGCTTCTCGATGCTCTCTGTCAGCTCCTCCTGCTTCGAGTCGCTCAGCTGCGTCCCCTTGTGCAGCATCCTTTTTTTCTGCTGGACGGTGACGCTCTCCTCACTGACCTGGGTGATCTTCTCAATTAGCTGGTGAGCAGAAGGGGGAGGGGGATGAAGCCACACGACCGTGGGAGGAAGGGATGGCCACCTCCACTTGCGCCCCCATCTCAGCAGACCCCCGCCTCACCAGCTGGCACACGTGGTGGGGAAGGCTGAGAAGGAGGGTGCCGGCCCCCCGTCCAGGAGGCATGTCCTGGGTCAGAGACTAGGGCTAAGAATCCCAGGTCCCTGGGGTGTCGTGTGTGTGTGTCCCAGGCTCAGCAGGCCAGTGGCAGTCGTCCCTAACACCGAGTCTGTCCGTCACACAAGGTCGGGTTTGCCTTCTCTGTGTGTCGGTGAGAAGGACCTCTGAAAGGGTCACACTCAGGCCCGTCCTCACCGCCCTCCTTCCTCCAGAGAAGGACTGTGGCCCACACGCCCGTGCGGGGAGACAGCCTCTTTTCTCACTGTTAGTGAAGGCTAAATGTGGGTGTCCGGCGACCAGAAAGAGAACTGGGTGGTTTCGTTTGATTTTTCACGGAAACATTTCAAGGGAGTTTAACTGGCTTTTGCTGTAAAAGCCAGGAAATCCCATGAAAGCAAAACAACTCTTCATGGTGTAGCAACAGTGTGAAAAGCTGTGTGTCACCACCCAAACACAAGCATATGCTCCCTGGGTCTGGAGTCCCAGCGCCCCGAGGGAGGGCACGAAGAGCCTCATGGCGGGGAAGCTGACGCACCTGCTGGTCGGTGATGAGCTTGTCCTGGAATGGCTTGGCTCGTCCGTAGGTGGCCTTGATCACTTGGTTTCTGAAATTCTCCAGCTGCAGACAAAGGGGAGGTGACAAGGTCAGGGTGGCTGTTGGAACCAACAAGCCTGGGCACCTCATTTCCAACACGAGTATGTGTATGCGTGCGGTGGGGGGGTCTGGGAAGAAAAATCAGAAGGGTCTGCCTGCTTTTAATGGTTACCACATGCTACGAACATCTCTCCCTGGAAGTGGTGGTACCCACAGAAGGATGAGAACAGCAGGTCTTAATGACTTGCAGACCGGCCTATCTAACCCAACAGACACATGTGGTCAGAACACACACACATGTCTCAAGTCCCCAGAAGAGGCGCTTGCTGTCACTGAGCCAATGGGAAGCCTGTGGCTGGGAGCACTTTTCCATAATTGCGTGGGTGGCACCAGACTGTGAAATAAATACTGAGGCTGTCAGTCTAAGTAAACGGTGTATACAGCGAGGGTGTCCACGAGGGGAGAAGACTGCTCCCCCTTCTGCCATCCTGCTCCGGGACAGTAAGTGGGATAAAGACTGTAACCCTAGAGCCCGGAACAGCACCTGGCACAAAGGCGGCACTTGGACCCTACAGCCTGGAACAGGGCCTGGCACAGAGGAGGCGCTCAGATCCTACA